CGTCTCCGAGTGCCGGGACAAACTTGTGTCTGAAGTCGAGTCTTTGGTGAACAGAGTCTCGGATTGGGTCTAAATCTAGTCCAGTTTAACCCCCAGAAGACACAAGTTTGCGCGTTAACCGCTAAAAAGAACCCCTTTGTCGTATCTCCTCAGTTTCAAGGCACTCCCCTTGTTGCCTCAGCCAGTATCGGAATCCTCGGCGTCGACATATCGAGTAACGTGCAGTTTCGTGGTCACTTGGAAGAGAAGGCCAAATTGGCCTATTGGCCTCTAAAAAGCTTGGCGTGCGCAGCAGAGCGGGACAGTTTTTCATGCCGGCACACCACCTGCAACTTTACAAGGCGCAGGTTCGGCCGCACAAGGAATACTGTTCCCATCTCTGGGCTGGGGCTCCCCAGTACCAGCTCCTTCCACTCGACCGTATCCAGCGCAGAGCGGCTCGAATCGTCGACGACCGAGTGTTTTCCGATCGGCTCGATTCACTGGCACTGCGAAGAGATGTTGCATCTCTTTGCATTTTCTTTCGCATATACCATGGAGAGTGCTCTGAGGAATTGTTCGGATTAATCCCAGCTGCCAAATTTCGTGAACGCACTACATGGCAAACGTCTCGATACCATCCACATCATCTGGATGCTTGGCGGTCCACCACTGTACGTTTCAAGAGGAGTTTTCTTCCGCGTACAACCTCTCTGTGGAATAGTTTACCACCACGATTTTTCTGGACCGATACGACCTGGGGACCTTCAAGAAAAGAGCGTACTCCTTTCTAAAGGGCCGGCAACGCACCTGCAATTCTCCTGGTGTTGCGGTTGATCATGGGCGGCGGTAGTCACTTAACATCAGGTGAGCCGCATGCTCGTTTGCCCCCTCTTATATTAAAAAAAAGCTATATTAAATTACGTACAGTTTACAGAAGGTATCCGAATGCCTGACGCGATAGTAAATTGCAAAGATGGTTTTGCAACCACAGTTATATAAAACTGCAAGACAGTGAACAAAAATTAGTGGTCACATCATCATTTAAAGTTGAGATTTTTCATGACACATATAACAATAACTTGAATTTTACAGAAAGTAAAAATAATAATTTAGATATATTACTAGAGAAAAACTTAAATAAATTAAGACTAGAGCACATGAACGAAGAGGAAAAATCGGTGATGCATGAAATTATGTAGGGAATATAAGGATATATTCTATTGTGAAAACATAACACTATATTTTACAAACGAAGTTAAACATAAGATTAGGACGAAGAATGAGGACCCTATTAATATTAAAGCCCATAGATTACCACCACCTGCACAAACTAAGGAAATAAAGCAACAAGTAGAGACAATGTTGCAAGATAATATTATCCAGGAGTCTCATTCTCCGTGGAGTACACCGGTGCACTTTAAAAGTGCACCAAAAAAATTTGGTGCATCGGGCATACAAAAATGGAGAATGGTAGTTGATTATAGGCGACTAAATGACATAACTACAGATGACAAATACCCACTCCCTAATATTAACGATCTGTTTGACATGCTAGGAAAGAGCTTATATTTCACTACCTTAAATTTAGCTTCCGGTTACCACCAGATAGAAGTAGAAAAGGATGACAAACCAAAAACAGCCTTCAGCACACCCTTTGGTTACTTTGAATTCAATAGGATGCCCTTCGGTTTAAAGACAGCTCCTGCTACGTTTCGGAGAGCAATGGATAACGTACTACGAGGGTTACAAGGTTTACATTGCCTAGTGTATTTAGATGACGTTATTATCTTCTCAAAAAGCCTACCGGAACATGTAGAAAAACTCAAAACCGTATTCGAAAGATTCAGAAAAACTGACCTTAAAATCCAACTTGATAAGTCTCATTTTCTTAGGAAAGAAGTACTATATCTAGGGCACACTATAACAAGTGAAGTATTGAAACCCAACAATGACAAAATTGAAGCAATACTAAAATATCCCCTACCACAAACTCTAACAGAATTAAGGAGTTTCTTAGGTCTTGTAGGCTACTATAGGAAGTTTATAAACGATTTCGCTAAAATCACGAAACCACTTACGACTTGTTGCAAAAAGAACCGTAAAATAATAGTTAATAATGAATACATACAAAGCTTCGAAACATGTAAAAAACTGTTAATCAATGCACCCCTATTACAGTATCCAGACTTTGACAAACCATTCATTTTAACCACCGATGCACCAAATTTTGCAATAGGAGCCGTATTATCACAAGGTACAATAGGAAACGATAAACCTGTGGCATATGCGAGCAGAACGTTAAATGATACGGAATGTCGTTATAGCACCATAGAAAAAGAACTCCTAGCTGTAGTATGGGCAGTCAAATATTTTAGACCGTACTTATATGGTCTAAAGTTCACCATTTTCACGGACCATAGGCCATTAGCCCGGTTATATTCGCTTAAGGAACCAAACAGTAAATTAATCCGCTGGAGGTTAAGACTTGAGGAATATGACTTCGAAATTAAGTACAAGAAAGGCCAACAGAATACAAACGCTGATGCCCTTTCTAGAATTAGAATCAATGCCATAGTTGACGATTTAGATTCTATCTTCGTAAATACTGACGATAATGATGAAATACTTCAAGATATAATTAATTAAATAAATTCTGAATTCGTAACAATACGTAAAAGAAAACAAAAAGAGGATTCAGTTACGTCAATCTCAGATACGGAAAGTGAAAAGTAACCTGAATTGATGGAAATCTCAGATGATGGTGCTACAGCGAACTCCGTATCTAATAGGGAACACGAAGGCATTCCGATTTTAAACGAAGCAATAGATTCAAAACCGCGTCAAATACTAGTTCATTCGTGGTTCTCTGATAAATATTCGGTCAAGGACATGTCTAACAGAAAGCAGCGTATTTTAGAAGTTCATATGTTCATTTATAAATAATAAAACATTAGTTAAAAACTTTCTGAAAGAATATGTTGACTTTAAAAACAATTATTTCATCTATTTCGAAGACCCAGCTTTTAGGAAAAAATTTTCAAACGTATTAATTCAATTATATAAGAAAGGAGCTTGCAAACTTGTTGAATGTACTGAAAGAATTATTAACTTAACCGATTCCGAGCAGAACCAACGAGAGATGGTGATAAAATATCACGAGGGTAAAACTTGTCATAGGGGGATCCAAGAAACATTTAATAAATTGTTTTAATTTATTATTGGTGGCAAAATATGAAAGAAATAATAACAGCTATAATAAATTCTTGCCAACAATGCAAAAAGATGAAATATGAAAGAAAACCTATAAAACCTCATATTCAATTAACACAGAGTCAAAGTACACCGCTCCAAGAAGTTTTCATAGATCTACTATTCATAAAAAGTAAATATTATTTGACAATTGTTGATGCTTTCAGTAAGTTAGGGCAAGCAATAAACAACCCAAATCGCAGTACCCCTGAAATTGTAAGTGCCTTAATTAAATACGTATGTATGGTTTACCACAGAAAATAAATAGCGACTCGTGTACTGAATTTAATAACGAATTAATAAAATAACTTTTAAATCTTTATAAAATAGAGCTCCACATAGGAACACCAAATAACCCTAGTTTCATGGGAATAGTTGAAAGATTCCACTCCACTATTAACGAAATATATAGATTAGCTAAGTACGATAAAACAGATCTTGATGCCTGCTCTGTGATGACATATGCGATAATGGCTTATAATAATAGTATTTATTCCGCAACAACCTTTACACCATTTGAAATTGTTTTCGGTACCACCGATTCAGGTAACGTCTTTGATATAGATAGAGAACGTAATTTGATGTAAAAGCTCTCTTACAAGATCATAGAAAACGTCTTAAAGTTCTTTATGAATATGTAGCCGATAAATTACAGACAGATAAGATTAAGGAGGTGAGGAAGTCCCAGAAATTAAAGAAGGGGACGATATTTTTATGAAAACTACTAGGACAAGAAAAGCAAAAGATAAGCCACGTTTTGAAAAAGCCAAAGTCATAGGGAAACCGGATCATAATATAATACCCGTTAAACTTAATAAGAGACAAACTAGAGTAGCTATAAAAAATATTAAACGTCCTCCACAGGTCGTGGCTAGTACTTCTGGCATTGGCAAAACTGTCCAACGGCCTAGATCTACAGAACCTGAATTATTAATTAAATTAAATTAAAAAATTAAAAAAATTAATTAAAGAAGAATTTAAAATCGGTAGTTGAACAAATAGATATTAATACTGAACAATATAATTGCGTAAGTAAGATTATTAGTAATAATAGTGAAGTTGGAGATGAATTTAGGGGCAAATAGAAACATCCATAGATTTAACAAATAATAAAATACATCAGATTTTACCTATATCTAAAATAAGTAACAGAGCCATATTTAGTCCTTTAGGTTCCTTAGTTAAAGTTATCTCAGGTAACTTGGATGAAGAAGACGCTAGGCACTTCGACTCACAAATAAGTCAGGTGAATAATAGAGAACATTTGGTCGAACACCGAGTCACTCTGCTACAACAAGCATTTAATAAGCTTGTTAATGCGTCGGAAGACATAAATTCGAATGTCAATCGTTTACAAAATCAGGAAATAGATTCTATACTTCATAAGGAAAGGTCTCTAAAAAATGTTGTAACAATATTAAATACTTTATATCAAATTTCGAACAATTTTCGAACAATTTTAGATGTAATACAAGAAATAGAAACAGCTATTGCTTTTAGTAAATTACACACTTTACATCAATCAATCATAAATTCAACAGAACTATTAAATATGTTAATAAATATAGAAAAATATGCCAAATTGATTTACCCAGCAAATAGGGATTACCCATATCATATTCGCATCATATCCTTTCCTATTGGTGAAAAGATTGAAATACCAATCAGCGGTGAGTCCCTGTGAAGAAATCGACGATGAAAAGTTCTTATGCCCAGAGGAAAGTCTCGCAGAGTATCCAGCTGAAACATGTATTGAACAAATAATACAGATGAAAACCAACCACAGTAGCTGCCAGCAACATAATATACGATTGGAGAATTTGAAAATTCAGAGGATCTTCAAGAACTATTGGCTACTATATACCACTAAGGACTTGATAATAACTGAACACTGTCCAGAACATGTACAAAAATACCATGTGCAAGGCACATATATGATGATACCTAATCAAGAATGCAGAACACAGGTTGGAGACACATTCATCAACGCTCCGAGGTACCTTGCGATTATTAAACTTCAACTTCCCACAATCGAGATGCCAACCGTACGAGAGGATGACATCAAGAAAGAAGCAAAACAGTTAGATTTAAGAAACATGGACTTCAGTGATATAAAAGAATTAATAAATAGTGCTAAATTCAGTGATAACGAAATAAATACAAAATTCTTAGTAACCAGGGAAATCAGTGTATGGACCAAGTTACAAGTTTATATCTCATTATAGTAATCTGTATAGTATTTACCATTTTTAAATTCAAATTATGTTATCGAAATTCTCCGAAGTCGCTTAAGCCACCTTCGGATAATTTCTCTTTTGAGGGGGGAGGAGTTAAGGCTGAGCACCCCTTCCAAATCTCATTCGTTCGCATATCATCAGCAATCCCATCTGTGTCAAGCGTATGCAGTAAATAAGCTTAGTAAATAGTTTTGTTGCATATAATTTAAGTATAAATAGACAATTGTAATCAGTTAATATCGAATATTGTAGTAAAAAACTTCTTACTGTAACTCTGTCCAAATAAATAAAATATATTTTTTATTGAAGTCTGGTTCATTATCTTAATTCGCGCCTAAGTTGACGTCATGTACCCGGCACTAACAAAACGAGAAGAGCTTTCCAGAAAATTACATGACTAATCTTTCAACCAACAGCGCCATCTAGTATCAGAAAAGAAGAATTAAGCTTTCTGAAGCCCCACACTCGAACTTTCTGCGTCTGGTCGGTCGGCGCCGTATCTACGGGAATATTCTGGATGTTTCGGTGAAAAAGGCGTATTTATAGGCGCTGCAATACGCAATCGGAGCAGTATTGAATTTGGCGAGACAAGCGAAGCTTCGGAGCGGAGCGGAATAAAGTGATTAATTATTACTGTTTTAAGTTTAATTAGTGTGAAGTGAATTAAAGTGTTAATTTTGGTAATTCAATCGGCAGTTTTTATTGTCACGAACCTCAAGCTCGTAACAATTGGTGTCAGAAGTGGGATTAAATCATGCCGATTTTACCTAAGGAGGAAACGGAGGGTGTCCGTACCCGAAGTCAACGCCAGCAGGAGACGGACCAAAGAAGATTTGGTGGTGCAACGCCGCAGATGTCGGAGGGCCAGCCGCCGGCTGCAGGCCCGTCAGTAGCTCCTACATCTGCAGCACCTGACTTAGGTGCTCTGGTCTTGATGCTGTAGGAGCAGGCTCGCTGACAGGAGGAGCAGGCCCGTTGGTTGAAAAAGCAGCAGGAGAAACAGGCTCGCCGACAGGAGGAACAGGTCCGTCAGTTGAAAGAGCAGCAGGAGGAACAGGCCCGCCGACAGGAAGAGCAGATGCTCCTCGTGAAGGTCATTCACGCTAACTTCGGGAAAGAGATAAGGGAGGTGAAGGATAGGGTTGCTCAACATGACAACCGCCTGTCGGAAGCTGAAACCCAAATCAAGGAAGCTAAAACCCAAATCGACCAAGTGAACAATTGGGTTGATTACGTGATGGCTGATGTGAAGAAAACGCTGGACGACCTCAAACTGGGGGATGGAATTACAGCTCCCATAGGTAGCTACAACACCTTCGCTACGTGGGTTCAAGGTGCCACCGTTCGACTGGACTTCTTCCTGGTCGGCCTACAAAATCCAGTTCGAAGCTGTTATGAAGGCGAACGGCTGGAATAAAAGTCAGGCCATGACTGCTCTCACACTAGGCCTGCGCAACCAGGCCTTAACAGTTCTGGAAGCTCTCGGTGAGGAAGTGACTTATGAGCAGCTCCTTGAGGCATTGGAGGCGAGATATGGTGACGCTCACCTGGAACACGTCTTTCGTGCGCAGCTTAAAGATCGCGTGCAGCACATCAACGAAAACCTGCAGCTGTGGGCTTTAGAGAAGCTGGTGCGAAAAGCATACCGGTCTGTACCTGCGCTCATTGAAGGGAACCTGGTACAGACATTCATCGACGGCATTCGTGACCTGGAAGTCGGAGCTGCTGTGAGGCTCGGGCACCACGAGACGCTTGGCCCATGCACTGTTGGAGGAGGTTGCAAGAAGAAGATCCGGACATCAAGCCGATTCTGGAATGGATGAAGGCCCGTGCTACCAAGCCTAAGTGGAGCGACGTCTCAGCGATGAGTTCGACCACTAGAAGCTATTGGGCCCAATGGGACAGCTTGCTGATTCAGGATGGAGTCCTGTGCCGTAAATGGGACAATGGTCGAGGAGACAGCTGTCGTTTGCAAATGGTTGTCCCTAAAGCTAAAGTGCCAAATGTCCTACAGCTGCACCGTAATGGTTGTTCAGGAGTCCATCTGGGAGTTAAACGAACTCTACTGAAGATCCGAGAACAGTTTTACTGGGTCAATTATCGTGACGATGTCGAGGATTGGTGTCGCACATGTACAAGTTGTGCGGCTGTAAAGGGACCTCAGACTCGTAGTAGAATCGCATCGAAATTGTACAATGTTGGTGCACACACATAAAGATGGGGACCACATTCCGAATACCTACTTGAAGCTTAACCTATGTATTACTGTCTCGCTCTCTGTGGGCAGACCTTCTCTTTCTAAGTAGGTAAGGTCTGATTTCAATATAATTTTGCACATTGTGTGCAGTTAGGTCAAACTTGAGAGATAGGATAATGTTTATCCCAATAAGTGACCCTCGATGTACTTTATCACGAATTTAATGATTTTTTATGTCACAAAGGGTCGTCGGATAGGGCAGAACAACGTCTGCCTAGCCAGCTAGCAGATTATATATTTTTGTACAATTTTCAAGGTTTTAATTTTCATGGGCAGTAGCGGTATCTAAAATATAACCACGCATTTCTGTTACAACTCATATAATGCCGAACCTATTAAGAAAATATGGAAAATAAATATATCAGAGAATATTTTATAACTACCATTTCGATAATGTATTTTCTGATTATTGTATGCAATTCCTAAACGGTACCAACGAAATATAAAATTAAATTTATTATAAAACCCCGGGTGTTCAATGAATTGGGCAAAATATACCTGATTTATTGTTCAGACAGACTAAATCCACGTATGGATAATTATTTAAAAAAAATCACGAAGTCTAAAGGAGCGTAGCGGAACTCTTGCCTTAGCCGTCTGACCTTACGAATCCAAGTCAGGTTGTTCTGAGCTGAAATGTGTAGGTATAATACTATATTCCACACATCCTGTTCATTTTAAGAATTATCTACAATTCCTAGGAATTCTATATAAAACCTCAAAAAAAAAACACTTTACATATTAAAATCATTTATTGAAATTTTTCTATTATAAATGTTATATATATATATATATATATTCTATTATACATGTTACATATAATAAAAATAATCTATGTAGTTTCTTTCTCTAACCACGTAAATCACTTATTATAATACATACATATTATAATAATACATATTTACTTAGTTTTACATATAATCAGATATAATTTAATATGATTTCTTCAGATGATAGTGTTCGGAGTTCCAATTCCTTCGCCTTTGATTCTGCCTCTAATGAATTAAGCAGTATTGACAGCTTTGAAAGTATTGCACCCTTAAATATTATGTTAGATTCAACTTTTTCTGAATTTAACAAAAACTTTAACGCTATTCACATAAATGCTCAAAGTATTCCTGCTCATTACCCCGACATGTTGTCAAGTTTTAATAGCAAAAACATACACGCTATCCTTGTTTCGGAGTCGTGGTTAAAACCATGTCTTCCATCAACTTCCTACTCGCTTCCAGGTTTTCATTTGATTCGTAACGCCCGTACCGATCGGGGCGGTGGTGGTGTTGCTATTTATCTGCGCTCTCATATAGCTTTTTCAGTCATTCAAGTTTCAAATGGTTCGCAGACAGGAAGCGAAGCTGAATTTATTATTATTCTTGGTCATATAAAATTACTTCTCGGAGTTTTTTACAGTCCCTCTCTCACTGTCGACTACTTCACCACGTTAGAAAATATTCTTGACAATCTTACACCTATCTACTTATTATGGGTGATTTTAATACTTGTCTTTTAAAAAACAACGCTAGATCAATAAAACTTAAATCTATTATTGAAGCACCAAATTTATAACTTCTTCCTACTTCTGCCACACACTTTTTCCCGAACTGTGCCCCTTCTCTTCTCGACATAATGTTTGTGTCTTTACCTGACCATGTTCTTAAATTTGGGCAACATGCTGCTGATTCTTTTTCCTATCACGACCTTTTATACTTGTCATACAAGATCCGTCCCGGAAGTCAGGGATACTACTTCAGCGTAACTTTTGTGACTTGGATTTGGAGCAGCTTTTAAATGACGCTGTAAAGATTGATTGGAGTGTAGTCGTCAATGCGTCTACTGTTGATGAACAGGTTGCTTTGTTCAACTCTCTGTTAATTCAGCTTTACGACGTTCATGCTCCTGTTCGTCCCGTGCGTGTAAAGCATCCTCCCTCTCCTTGGCTGACCGATGATATAAAAAAAATCATCCACATTAAAAATTGTGCCAAAGCTAAATACAAGTCACACTTCCTACCGATTTGAATAGAGAGAAGTATAGATTAGTACGGAATCGTTGCAATAATCGGTGTAGAAAAGCACAACGACGCCATATCCATGAATCAGTACAAGATCCTGACCCTGCTAGGGTCTGGAAATTTCTTAAGTCCTTAGGAGTTGGGAAATTACGACAAAATCTCACACATCATAACTTTGATCTCAATCAACTTAATTTACATTTCTCATCTTCGTCTTGCATTAACGATAAAGCAAAACATAATACTTTGGACTCTCTTTCAAAAGCTCCCACTCCGGACACCTCCGCTTTTTATTTTAGCCAATTAAACAGTTGTGATGTTAAGAGAGCCATAATGTCCATCCACTCAAATTCGATTGGTAGTGACTGCATTAGTCGGAAAATGGTCATCCCTCTCATTGATCTCCTTTTACCTATAATCACGTCTATCCTGAATAATTCACTGAATTCTGCTTTTTTCCCTTCAGCATGGAAAGACGCATTTGTAGTTCCTCTTCCGAAAAAGTCAAATCCCTCTAGTTTTTCTGATTATAGACCTATCTCTATTTTGCCTTTCTTTTCCAAAGTTCTAGAACGTCTTGTGCACAATCAATTAAGCACCTAATCTTTTAAAACACAATCTTTTAAATCCCTTTCAATCCGGTTTCCGTCCTGGCCATAGTACGACTACTGCACTTTTACAAATCACTGATGATATTCGGTATGGTATGGAGAAACAAAA